ACTTCACTCGAAGACTCCGCTGACTCAGCAAGATTCATTTCTTCCTTCGACTCTGGTTTGACAACATTTGACTTTGAATCGTCTACCAACCTTTCAATCAAGACCTTCTTTTTTCCAGTAGTTGGTAATCCTTTTTCTTGAAGCAGCTTTCGCAGCTGATCGACTGTAAGTTGCGATAAATCATCATTTTCGGTCTTTGGACTGGCGGCCATCTTATCGCCCACGTGGTGATGACCTTGCGAAGAATTACAAATGTACTGTTCAAATGTCACCTTGTATCCGGCTGTGAAGGACCATGTTAAGGAAGCGATGGAATACAAACTTGAACGCTTGAACACAACTTTAATCCGCTCGATTTACAATACACACCGATTTACAACAGGTTGATGTACTGCCCTGGAACCCGACTTACAACAAATCTACGAGCGACTAGCAAGGAAGTCACGTGACGTGTTATCTACATAATTTATTCTACTCTCACAGGTCCAGTCTCGCGGGGCTTTTAATGACCCGAGTACGAGTACGACGATGGGCCGTAACAATGGTAATTGAACTGAGTGGAGTGCAATTTGGTCTGAAAGCATACGCGGGATTTCAAAATTCGAAATCACAAGTATGATTTCAGACCAAAATTGCACGACACCAAGTTCAATTACCACTTTATTACTTCCATTTTGAAATCGCAGAATTTAGTCAGTACTAATATTTTATTGATCAAGTAGCCGGTTTGTTAAAAAGCCGAAACAAAAAGGCTTTTACATCTCATTTTGTATCCCAAACAGAAATGATACGATATAGAACAAAAATGGTGCGATTTAAAACAGAAATGATGCGATTTAGAACATGAATGACGCGATTTGGAACAGATGCGATTTAGAGCAAAAATGGTGCGATTTAGGAATAAATCACACCGCTGAGAGCTAATCAGATTGCACGGATAGCCCGTGATTTCAAAGTGGATGTAATAAATATAATAATTATTATTATACTCAGGTGAACGAGCGCTGACGTTACTTAGGTTTTAAAAATATTCAGTTGAAACGAAATTTAATGCCCTCAACTTTTAGTCGACCAATTTATCCTAATCTCCCCTCAAACGTCCCTGATATTTTTTCCACAGGTGAAAACAAGGGTTTTCACTTCAGTTTTTGTGAGGGCAATTTGAAAAACTGTAAGTTAAAGGTGAGCTTCCTAATTCGTCGAATTATTATTCATGTATCTTCATTACTGATCTTTGAAAAACAGACGTAAACCTTGTTTGTTTACCTCCTACTTTTCTTTTCTAAGTAATCAAACTTTATTCAATTCAAATTCTTTCTAAAGGTAGACGAAAAACAGAAGAGAACGGGTAAAAGTGTGAAGCGAAAAGAAGTAAAAGAAAACAAGTCATGCAATTATCTTCATCCGAGTGCATCACCTGGTTTGCTGTATTCCTTACTGTGTCTGTTGCTATAGTAACAGTGAACCTTATATCAATCATTCTTTTTATAAAAAACCGCAGTCTTCGCACTCGTGCCATGTACCTAGTTATAAACCTGACGGTAGCTGATATGTTTGTCGGAGGATTTTCTCAATTTCATCTATTTGGTGTCCTCTCACTATACTCATGCGACATTGTGAAAATGAACTTAAGCCAGGAACTGAAGGTGTTAATTTTCTTTCTCTACCTCTGGTTTCCTCTGACCTCTCTAACAAACATTGCAGCGATTTCATTAGATCGGATGCATGCAACAATTCGTCCCTTCAGGCATCGCTTCATCAAAAAGTGGGTCTACGGGGTAACAATTGCTGGTGTCTGGGTTTTAGCTGCAATGGTATCAACTGCCGGTTTACTGTTACTTAGACCATATGGGAAGGAAGGGTCACATCATCTTTACTTGTGGCAATCATACTGTTGTTTGTGTCTTTTTGTTATCTGTGTTTCTTATTCTTCCATTGCTGTTAAATTTTTGTGTGGAGCGCATCCCCAGCACCATGGTGCAGCCAACAGACAGAGGAAACTGACCGTAACATTATTCATAATGACTATCGTATCGTTACTGACGTATCTACCGAGTACAGCTTTTATTTTTATTTTTCTTACTTTTCAAACTGGTAACATGAAATTCCTTTCTTCCCAGGAAATACTACGTTTGGATTTTTCTTTAATCATTCTATATTTTCTGAACTCGCTTGTTAATCCCGTCGTTTACACAATCAGAATGCCAGAGTTTAGGAAAGCTCTCCTGCTGTTATTTAAACGTCAACGAAGACAAAATGCCCGAGATATTCCTCTTCATGCGCTTTAATGTACTTGAAAGCCAACTAAAAGAAAGAAACAGTTGTAGTTGATTGTATACTATTATTGAGGCCTTTAAAGTTTGATAAAAAGGCTGTAAACAATTGTTGTGGTGCAATTTTTTTCTTGGTTCAAATGCTTTTTTTCCGTCAATTGTTTTAAACTCTTAACTATACCGCAACACAAAGGAAAACAAAATCTAGTAAACCATTGATGAGTTGAACCACAGTATTTCGTCAAATACTACAACTAAATATAGAGCCGGTTAGTAGTCTCGTTTATCTTTTCGTTACGTTAATTTAGTATGCTTCCAAAATAAAAAGATATCCTTTACTTTTCCTTGTTTAGAGTTAGTCATTATGATTGTGGTCGCAAAACATGAAATATATCCATTATGTACATTAAGCGCAGAAGTTAATTAATTCTTAATTTGTTGTTTCACAACACGATATCCACTTCAATAATGCGACTTGTTTTAAAGGTAAAATACTTCTGTTAGTAAAATCAGCACTTTAAGAGACTTGAATAAAGTTGCTATTTATATAAACAGGATTTCTTTACGTTTTTATCTATGTTTGGAATATCACAAGGAATGGGCCAGAAAAACGCTGAAATGGGAAAAGCACTGACTTCAGTGTCCTAAAGATGGGAAAAGTCAGAAGATTGTTAAAAGTGTCTTTTTTTTCACGCCAATTTTAGGAGTGGATTATGTTGTTAGTAAAAAATGTTGTTTTTCCTCGTTGTGTGGTTAAGGGCATTTGTGTACAGCCTGCCACATACATTCAAGACTATTTCTGCCACTATTGTTGAACATTTCCTGGTCTTTTTTTGAGAGATAATATATAACCAAATCTGGGAAGGGAAGTCAACTGAAAAACTTTGAAAATCATAGATGAATGACGAGTCATCAAAACTATTTAGCCTTTCCAGAGAAATAGAAATTTGTAAACAAGAGTTTTGCTTCTTCAAACATATATTTTACATCAGAAAACTTTCCCCTGATAAATGAGGATGGCGACATATCAAATAGTCTGGATTGAATATTGTCATCACTGGAAACTAAATCCAGTAAATCCATCTTGTCAGTTCGTGTCCTTAAACTGCGCCATGAATTCTTGGTGAAAGGTTCTTAGTCGCTCAAACATTGGAGCGAACGTCTCTTCAGAAGGAAGAATAGTGATCCTACCAAGAAAGATTAAAACATGAAACCGTTTAAAGTTATTTCCTTCGTATGGATAGTGGGTCTGAAAAATCAAAACGTTTTGGATTATTTTAACCCATAACGTGGTGATAAAACTTGGTCCAATTTCATCAGACTTTCACACGCTGACAGAACGTCGCTTTTACAGACAAGTTGCTTTTAGGACGCCTTTAATTTCCTATGTAAGTCTAAGCTCTGGTCCATACCGTATAATCCCGGTTGTAAGCCCTTCTATTTGTACATACCAACTTTATCCCAGTTGCAGGCCATCCACTAAGACCCCATCACCCCGGCTATGAGCCGATCTGTGTATACCCTTATTGCGTTCGTCAGAACGCATCCTAATTTAGTGTTCCTGTGGTAAAAGGGCAGAATTTTTCGGGGTTGGGGGGAAAGAGGGGTCTCTTCAAATTTAAAGGTGCAGTCAATCCAATCAATCTAAATATAGTAGTCAAGCCTGTGAAAACCTTGTGACACAAGGGCGCAAATGATATAACACAGACGTTTTTGAAATCATCAAAATTCCGACCTGAAGTTGATGGCCCTTGTTAATTCAAATCTCACCTGTAGTAAAAGTTGTTACCGCTGCCTTTCATATCAAAAACGTGGCCAGGAATCATGTAAATTCCAGTTTTCTCCAGCGCCTGCCAACAGTAAAACTCGTCTGGTGGCATTTCCTTGGCCTAAATAACAATGACAATTATACAAACAACTTAGTTAACTCAAAAAATATTTACACATTACTTTTGTCCACCCCAAAATCCTTTTACTTCGCTCACCAAACAGACCACATACATACTTTCCTTGTGACGGGAATATCTGTATTTCAAAGAATCCCTCGATGAAGCCTTCACTGGGAGCTGTTACTAGATCGATACGACATATGGAATTTAGGAATGCAATTTGGAAAGTTGAGAAAGTGAAATTTTAGTTTCCCCGGGACATTATCAGCAGCCTGAATAATATGGGAGCCTATAGCGTCCCTTTCACTTTTTCTAATCGAAGAACGCCTTTTGAGAAAACTGACACGGCGGGAAACGGGTTGGCATTCTTCTAATATAAGGTGCATCAACGAGAATCTAGGCTTCTTGATCGCACGTTGTGGATTCCGGATTTTATGTTGTAAATCCGGGATGACGGGTACTGGATTCAATATACCTTGTCCATGAAACGTGGATTCCAGATTCCAATCGTTAGCGAGATTTCGGGCTTCATATATAGAGCAGGCCCCAGCTGTTCAAAAGCTGGATAACGCAATCCACTGGATAAATCTCTATCCAGTGGATAGTGCAATTGGTTTCGCTCATACTTATCCATCGGATAAAAGCTGTTCTCAAACTATTTTCAATATGCCAGTAATGTGCACAAATACAATACCAGATATGCATCGAAACAGAATCTTTACGTAAAAAAAGTGCGAACTAATACGGGGAAACAAACAATCGGATATGCTACATGTACCATCTGGGACAAAATTCCCATAACTCTTAAAGAACTAAACACATACCAATTCCAAAAACAACTGAAACCTTATTTGCTGTCAGAACAACATAGTTAACATAACTTAAGCATATACTCTTTCTTTCTTAATACATTGTATTTTAAAACTGCTTCTTTGGAAATAAATTGTATCTCAATTCTCTAAAACTTTAAATTCTAGAGAACTGGCTAGAAAATCTTAGGATTATTTCAGCTCCAGGCCTTTTTAAGTACAAATAAATATCCATATATATGTTTTTTTTTCTCTTTCATGTGTGTATGTAATTAACTAAGTACAAGGCGAATAAAAGGTATTGTTAATATTGTAGTGATTTATTCGGTGGATAGCGCTACCCATCTTTTGAACAACCGGGTCTGAATTCCGAATTTCAAACACCAGAACTGATTCCGGATCAGTCTACAAGTAAAAAATCCCCCCGGGTTCCGGATTATGGATTACCGTACACCTAGGATATCCATTACTGACAGTATTCTAATTCGGATTACCGTACACCTACCCGATTCCACACGTAAAAAATTCCCGGATTCCGGAATTCGGATTACCGTACACCGTACGGTACCGTAGGATATCCATTACTGACAGTATTCTGCAGTGTAGCACTAGAAATCAGGACCGGAAACAAGACATGATACCTTGGCTGCCTCGATAGCTTTCTTTGGAAGTGTTATCCTCGGAAACGCATACATTGCACCTGCCACCTCGTTACACTTAACATTTTCCATTGAGTTAAGAACCTCTGTTGTCATCTTTGCTTTCTTCCTGTAAGAATCCTTGATGGATTTTACTTCCTGTAAAACAGATAAAACACAAAATAATGCATTAAGCAAGATACGGGAATACTGAAGGTAATTACCTGTATAGATTTCCTTAGTGCGTCGCAATTAAAGATCATTTTCTATACATTTATAAGAAGATTGCCGAATGTTCCAGGAGAAAATAGACATTTTGTTTACTCCCCGACCTAGTCCCTTAGCGACTTCAACACTTGGCAAACTTAACCTGCGTAAGACTCGAATTTGATGTTTTGTTTGGGCAAAAGAATCAATGGAAACCTATCCTGCGTGCCACGGCTTCCGGTTTTTCAAATTTTTATCTCCAGTAGTGGCTCCGTCCGCGGGCCGAAGGATCCCGCCACCCGCGAGAAAAACCTCTGGTACCTAGGGTAAGAGGAACAAGCGTTATTTGTTAAATCGGCTATCCCATGGCAGGCAGGCAGGCATTAGAGGCGTCACCTGACTAAGTATTGTATTATTCCCTGCTTTTAACTGTATCATGAAAAGCTACGGTTCAAATTGTTACATTTTCGTTAAAACCTGGAACTAGTTACAGCCTGAGCACCAGAGACAAGTTGAAAAAAAGAATAATACAACGCTATTAATTTTGTCATTCACAACTAAGTACTAAGTTCTCAAGTTCCATAGCGAATAATGACTCGTTATTGTCATTATCAACCATATAAACTAGTCAGCCGTGACAGAGCCCCCTGTAAAAAATTACACGAGCAATAAAGTAGCACTGATTTTGATCACGCGAGGCGCGTGAGTTTCTCTGCGTTAAGTTACAGTTAGGAGCATACCTTTGAAAACTTTTCATATGATTCATCGCCAGGCTTGGGAGGGTTGCAAGTGAGTCCCATGATTACCTTGGGTTAGAAATCAAGCCTAATGAATACAGACTGAGTACCTTACAATAAAGCACTAACAGCTTCCTCTGCAAGCCCTTCGAGACTCGCGCGACACAAGGCGAATGACTGGAAATAAGAGAAGCGCGAAGCTTTATGGGAGGAGTAAGAAAGGAGAGCAAAGCCATCTTTCACTATCCCGCCGTTCTTTGCGCGTAGTGTGAGAGACGCCTAAGTACGATGAAGTTACATCTGAACTATTGCAATTTTTTGCTTAACAGCCTAATACCCTGACCACCATAGAACAAAACAAAACAACAAGAGGAACAAACAACACAAAGCCAATATAACGAAAAGAGAAACACAAGCAGCCAGGCTTGTCTAGGACTTGGGGGATGTTAATAAATCATCGTAGAAGCACAAAGATACTTTTGCTCTAACGGAAGGTATTAACTGAAGTCTTTCCAGGAATTCAAACTGGAAATTGTGGACTAGGGTTTCGGCTGGCAGCCCTTTCATTAGGGACCTCTGTCCCATTTCACTACATGACATACATTAATTTATTCGTACCTGTCCTATTGTGGAAGGGCAACTTCTTGCACTCAGGTAAGTTTTAACTCGAGACCTGAGTTGATCATTGAATCCTACGAGCGCTATATATCCACCTCTGAGCCCGCATCTGCAAGGAACAGCAATGAAGAAAGTCCAGTAGCCGCGGTAGATGAAATATTGACCCATTGCAGCTTGTCATTGGCATGGTACGAAACCGCCATGATGGAGAGCAAGGTTGTTTACCGTTTACAAAAATACAGTTGGAAAGATCACCTGACGACTGTTCAAGAAATTCAGTGGAAAATTTCGAGGAGCAACGGAATGTCTGAAAAGGTTTTTCTGTTTTTCCGGTCGTGTTTCTTTTCTTCAAAGCCACCTTTGATACCAGTTTAAGGTTCTCGCCGCCGTTTCTCGGTAAATGAAACTGATTTGTACGCAAATGGTAAACGCGATTCCGGGACGAAATTTACTACCACTGAATTTTGCTTACCATTTGCATGCTCAAACCGCCAACCGAATGGTTTGTCCATAAAAATGGCAAACACCCCAAGACACGCATTGTGAGAAGACAAACATAGGAAATTACAACTTTAATGAAGTGAGCTGTTTGTTTGTCTAGTCCCAGAGCGCCCCTCCCTAACTCCCCAGCATAGCGGTTTTGTACCACGCGAATAGCTAGCTGCAAAGGCCCTATTGTGAGAAAATACAAAAGATTTGTTTTGGCATTCATGATCAGTTGGCTATATTTGCTGCTGAGGCTGAGCACTTGAATTTCCGATTTCCGGGAAACGAATTGTCAAGTGGGAAGTGGCGAAGTTTTGCTTTTAAATTGTTTCCCAAGACCAACCCAGAAAGAGTGCAAATGCGGAGAATTAATTTTGCTTACAAACGAGGCTTGGTGGTGAAATTTGCTCATCTCAAGCGTATGATCGCGCATAAGGACCTTTGCCAAAAAAGAGGAAACGTCAAGCCAAAGACAAAATAATGTTTTTAATGAACATGCAAAAATACCTCGTAGCAAAGTGAACATTTAATAGCGATGAAGGAAATATAAAAAACTTGATGAGGGCCGGACTGCTAGGGAAAGGAGGGCTGCAACTCTCATCAGTAATTCAGAGAAAAGTCTTTCCGGGACTTTGACAAGTGACCCGCTTAACCTTTTAACTTCCCGCAGAATGAATGATGGAGTCGAGTAAGGAATTCAAAATTTAACTAACTTTATGAGTCTGTGGACGGAATTCTTTGGCTTTTGGTGTGACCATTCAAATGAAACCTCGTTGTTTATACTTTCATGTGGTACTAATTGTTTCTAAGCACTTTAAAAAAGGAAATTTGTAATTTGTAATTGGGAGTGCAAGGGTTAATAATGGTTTGTCTGTGGTTATGTATGTACAATCAAAAAAGCCCGGCAAACAGAGCCCAAGGGTACAAAACTGGCACTAAATCATTTTTGTCTACTACCCGAAGGTGGCCGCCAAAAAAAAAAAAACAAACAAGAGGAAAAACACACACGCACAACTTACTCGCCTGTGTACCCTTTGGCACTGGAATGAAGAGAGATCAATTGAAATCCTCTGTACTCGTCTCCCAGGTCCCTGAGGACTTTTTTGCACGAGTGAAACTGGGCTCCCTCCGCGTACACGTTGTCTTGGTAAACTTCATCGACGAATAAAACTAACTTCTCACGAGCACAAAACTTGATTACTTCTTGAATGTCTTCATACGTCAACACCTGACCTATATATAAACAAGAAGCAAACGTGACTAATTAGTTAATGGATAAACGAAGGACAGAACAAGTTTACATTTTATAGTTAAACTCTGATATAACGAACACCACGGTTTAACGTAGAATTTCTATATAACGGACTAGTTTAACAACTGCCTAGATAATAAACATCCCGCTATTGTTTTCTCTCGAAAAGGCCAAAGAGGCCAAAATTAGGCCAGCACATCTGAGTTTTGCCTTATAGGCCTGATTTTGGCCTATGGCCTTTTTGAGGGAAAACAATAGAAATGTGGTGGTGGTGGAGGAGGAGAAGGGAAAACAATAGAAATGAGGAGGAGGAGGAGGGAAAATATTAAAATTGTGGAGGAGGAAATAATAACATTGAGGAGGGAAAATAATAAAATTGAGGGAAAATATTAAAATTGTGGTGGAGGGAATAAAAAATTGAGGAGGGAAACGTGGTAAGAAAAGATAGCTTGCTTTCTTTGACTATTTTAATAGATTTCTTTCAAATCGCTGTGTATCTGACTCTTTTTGTTTTTAATGAAGTCTCTAAAACGGTATCTCTCTTGTGGTTTTATTGCTAGCAATTATTAGTCGCGTGTTTTAATTGATCCTTCTTAAATTTGTTTATATAATAATACGTCAAGGTGCTCCCTTGGGTATAACTGTAGAGATGAACTAATTTGTATTCAACTTTGGGCTTATGAACTCGCATAATTAACTGATTAACGGTGCGTGAAACGCTGAGACTGTAATAGTTTTTCATTTCCTCAAGATAGATAGGAGAAAACGTCAGACAAACTTGAAATAGAGAGTTTTCAGTTCTACTTTGTATATGTTTTGTTTATACATATCCGAGTTTTAGAGCTAAATAAGAAGACGTAAACTAAATTGAAATAAAGACTTTTCAACTCCACTTTCTGTTTTTGTTTTGTTTATATATCTGAGTTTTAGCGCTAAATAAGATATAGAAAGCCGTTTCTCGCGTTGCTACGTGAGCGGTCCTCTTATTCCTATTTTCCTTTTGATAGACGGTCCGTAAACCGCCCTCAAGTTACTTCAAGTCGAGGCAAGCCTATTTTGCCTATTGTAGTATTCGTTCATTAGTAAACCTATACCGAATTAGTATGCAGGAAGTCCAAGGAAAGTCAAAAAGTTTCAACATATTATACTACTAACCCATAAATTGCACCTGCCACCTCGTTACAACTTAACATTTTCCACTGAGTTAAGAACCTCCGTTGCATGTTATATTTGCTTTCTTCCAGTAAGAATCCTTGATGGATGTTACTCCCTGTACAACGAGTTAAGCAAAAAAGAAATAATGCATTATATATATATTAGGCATAGATATAAAAAGATTCGAGATTCCCGGCCTTTTATAATTTCCCTTGTGCGTCGCACTTGAAGATCATTTTCTATGCATTTAAGAAAATTGCTAAATATTTCAGGAATAAATAGGAATTTTTTTTCGTTTTGGAGGCAATGTCACAAATGTTTGGGTGACAATACAATTCAATAAAATTAAAAGCAATGCCATACAATACAATGTTATAACCTTTATTTAACGCGGTCAAATGTGTTTCAGTAGCTAAATAGCTACTTTGCAGACATGAAGGAAGGAGGTTTAAATTGTTACAATATAGATAAAACCTGAAACATGTTATAACCGTAGCGGCTTATGAGACATCCTTAAAAATAAGAGAACAAAACAGGAAAGTTCTAATTATTCCGATAGGTTTCATGCAAATAGGTGTAATCAAAAAACTAAATGAAATACATTTTGGCGCGCAAATAATAGCAGTGCCCTGGCGAGAGAACGTAATCACTCGCCGCAGGCCAAAGGATGTATAGTACATGGTGTTCTTTCTTTGTACCATCTTGCAGTTCTGTTTTCCTTGGCATACTTTTATCAAAGAAATTCAGGAAAAATTCAGGAACTATTGACATGAAATAAGTTATAATTTGAAACTGTGGGGATACCTTGAATGATGCACGGAGGCGAAATAATCGTTGTGTGTGTCCATCAAATAGGGTCGATTGGTTGTGAGCTGATTAAAAAAGTAATTTCAAGTTAACGAAAAGCCTAATTCAGCAGCAAGGTTTTAGTTATTTAGTGGGGATAGATATAATTAGGGGTAAGAAATGATGGCCAAGACAATATTCATGGTAAACTAAAGTTTAATAGTGAAATATTATTTCCCAAAACAGATGTGCAGATAATTTATAAGACCGTATAAATCAAGGGAAGATTATTTTTCGCTGAAGTTACCTCCAACGCAGACGTCTTTTACAAGCCCAACTGATATTTTCCAAACAAAAACTATTAAATAATATACTTTTTTGCTTGATCAGTGGGGACATCCAGCATTGCATTTTGCGAAAGGTTAGTTATTTATTTATAAACAAAACGAAACGGCTGGACAAATTAAAACTAGCCTGTACCCAGACGTTTTTTTTTTCTTTTCGTTCTTTCGAGAACATCGGCGAGCGAGAACGAGCGCGGAGCGCGAGAAAGAAGAATAAAGAATTTTCTCCTTCCCCTCTCCTAACCCCTTCCGCTGGCGGTCAGAAAATAGAGGGTCTGTGAACAGGCTAGATCAAAACGAAACATATTAAAGGTTTTTACTGCGGTCGTATCATACAGTCAGTGAGCATAAATTTATTGTGAAACATACCAGTTATAGAGCGATAGATATACTTATCTGAAACAAGTCATAATTTGCCAGCT